AGATACTGACACATTATGGAACATCTTGATAATGTTTTACTGTAGTTTTGATAAAACTGCTGTGCTGGTTCTCAAAAAAAAAAAAAAAAAAAAAAAGCCAGAAAAGGCATTGGGATTTACCATATTAACTATGGTACTGGTGCAATTTTTATTCACAAAATGACATTAGCTCACCCCAGAGCAGAACAATGAACCGAAGAGGTATGAAATAAATGATGACGGTGGCCACTCCGAGAGCCACAATCGCAAGCCAGCTTAAGAAAGGCACAGTCCAGTTAAAGGTGCTGAAAAAGGAGGAGATGGGAAGTGATTAAAATTAGCAGACAGGGCAAAAGATTAAACTAACTATATTTGATGAAAAGCAATAAAGTTTCACACTTCAACTTTTTTTTCTGAAAATAAATTATGACAAATTATGAGTTTAGTCTGTAGATAATTCTAAGTTTGCCAGGCTGCTAAAGTGTTGTAAAATAAAATGTGTTCATTAGATTTTTTTTGAAAACCGTTTAAAAAAAAGGGCCTTCCCATGGATACAGAAGCGCACAGTGTTCAAACAAATATGTGGATGTGTTGATATGTGGCAATAAGCATATGGGATTTATATAAAGGTCATGCAGAGCTGAGTGAGATCTGATGAGCATTAAGACAGACAGCCTTTATGTTTGTGTCTCAGGGTTAGTTAACACACTGGCAGGATTTCCTGAGAGTAGCATTGAGTTACACTCAGTTAGGCTGGCAGAAGGGATGCAGAACCAGCTTGGCAATACAGAAAAAAAACTGGGATATGAGAAGCAAAGCAAAGGGAAGCGGGCTGGGTGCCGAGGAGCGGGCTTACGACTCACTTCTTTATCCTCTCGCCATAGGAGGCCACTTCATCCAGTGCATTCTGCACGCTGATGCACACGTCCTGAATGGCATAAAGCTTGTTCATGAAGCCCTTTTTCTCTGAGTCCTGCAAGAAGACAGATAGAGATGTATGCAAGCAAAGAAGAAAGCAAGGATGAGGGAGGAGGAGATGCAGACGGACAGAAAAAAAGAGAGACAAGAAAGGAGAGAAAGAGGAGAGAGACGAGACAGAGGCTGGGCACAGGCATCTTTGTGAGAACAATGCATTTTAAATAGCTTTGATTTGGAGAGGGGAGCCAAATCACCGGATATCCTGCATGAAGTGACAGAGTGCTTTCATTCCAGGCGGTAATAGAGATATAAAGTTGGCAGAAAAAATCAAAATGTTTTCCCCCTTACAAATGCTCACAGGAAAATTTAAATATGCGAATAAAGAGGCAGAATTAAACTGGGAGCCGAATGGATACATCAATCTTTGGTCGCTCCCTCTCTCTTTCTGCTCCTGCCAAGGCAGCTATAGGAACCGGGCAGAGTCCTCCTTTTGTTCTGCCGGCTGGCACACTGTGATGATGTCACCAGCCATGACATCATTATTATCCCCATTAGCTCAGTCAGCCACCATGAACGTCTCTTTTCAACTTTTGATGGTCGTCAACTTTCAATCTCGCCGGAGCACAGGGGCTAGGAACCGCAGAACTAGGCGGTTCATCTCTAGTCGATAAGCCCCACCTCTCTTGCTGAAATAAAGCAAAGAATTTAAGAAGTCATGCAACAGTCAACGAGCTGCCTGCTGAGTGACGGGCAGGCAGGGACAGGACAGATCTGGACACAATGAGGTGATCAAAAGCCACAGGCTGACTGAGGACACTGACACGCAGACTGTCTGTTGGCAGATGTGGTTGGTGGGCATGCTTGGAAAACAAAAGGAAGCAGAAAAATTGTCCAGAAGAATGTTGGATAGTTTTCATTGTACGATGGATTTTAGGTATAAAACCTGACTATCCACTGCTGATACCATGAACATATTTATAAGGAGAAAAGGGAACGAAAACACCAAAGCATGCAGCAAATACCTACATTGCAAAGTTTTATGTAAACCAACATGTTATTGATGAAGATGGATGGATCTGTTAGATTAGCGTGGTGGAACTATGAGTAATTCCTGTCGTTACAACTTTGAGGACCGTGAACCAAAGACATGAAACCTTCAGGATCTAGGAGGCCTTCACCGCATTTGGCTCCCAGAGTCCAGCCACCTCACCACAACCCTCCCAACGAGACCCCAAACTGCGCCCCAAACCCACCCTCTTCTTTTTGCTCTCCATCCAAGATCAGATAATGTGGAAAATGAACCGTGGAGCAGTCACGGAGACCACATGGCCTCCCCAGCAAAACCACACAAGACAAATAGATATAATTAGACAACCTCTCTGGGTTATTTTTCTTCGAAAATATTTTACAAGAGTCACTCCCCTCCCACCCCTGCACTCCTGCTTCTCCCGGTCTTTTCCTTGGACTCCCATCTGTTTTTCATTGCTGGCTCAAACAAAAATCTTAGTGCACCGTCTATTGTGCTGAGCTTGGACGGGCCGAGCAGGGCTGGGTCAGGACATTTTATTTTTGAGCCTGGACTCAGGGGAGAGTGTTTGGGGGCCATGGGAGTGGTGTGAGAGAGGGACCGGGGGTGGAGAGGATAGGTCAGAGGTCCTTGGTGCATAAACTATTGCCACATGCCCTTTGGACTGCGGTCTGACTCTTATTTCCTGTCTTCAAACACGGCTCGGGGAGGCGGGAGGTAGCAATAACACTGAGGGCCACGGAGAACCTTGTTTTCCCAGCTTCCCTGCACACTGCGCACATATGGAGGCAGACAACCTGTTCCTATAATGGAACCTAATATGCACACACACACACACACACACACACACACACACACACACACACACACACACACACACACACACACACACACACACACACACACCCTACAGCCATTAGATAAGGTTGATCTGTGCACCTGGTCTTGCTGTGTGACTTTACAATAATACCACATTCCAACGTACAGTAGAAGATGGAAGACTTGTAAATGCAGCCTTTTTCTCTCCTCGGGAAATGTATTTTAAAGCACAGGAAAAACCCAATCTGAGTCAGGAATAAAGGACACCCTGTTCATAAATGTTTGACAAACTTTGTGTTGTTCTAATTATTTTTACAAAATGGCAAAACGTTAGAATCAGTGAGCTTTCTAGGACACACATTTCCATGTCCTGTGGATTAGATCCATCACTTTGGCACAATGGGTTTTCTTCCTGTGGTTTGTGTGCACATGCTTCAACCACAATATGTGTAGTTTTCCAGTCTCAACAAGCTATTGTTCTAACTCAGAATGAAAGTCTTTACAAGAACCTAAAACTCTACCGGGGCAACAAAGTACGTCATTTTAAAGACCTGAAAGTAAGGCCAATATAATAAAAACAGTGCAATTTCTTGCTTTGATGTGGCTACAGATAGATGTCTTGGGAAAACCTAAATGCCAGCACCTCTGACAGCAGTGTTTTGATTGATGATTCTGTATGATAGAATGTAATAACTCTATCTAATGTGTTTAGCCTTAGAAATATTACAACTGTATCTTAATCTGCATTTTGAAGTAACTGTCAGCCCTGTTTGTTTACATCAAACTTTAAATATAGACAAAGTGAAGATCCCATCAACTGAAAAAGAAATACGTAGATATAAAACAAGTACTCCGTCCTTTTTTTTATGCCAAAGGTTAGGTGCAACATTCCTGCAAAGTGATCTTAAAGCTTTACAGACTTCTATGTGATCATCCTTGTGTTCTGGACAATCTCTCTTTTAGTGAATAATCATATTTTTCTCCTTCATAGCAAAACCAAAAAGGGCCACCCAGACTGTGATAAATGCTCACGCTAAAGCCAGCAGTGTATCACCTTGGTAAATAAATAAACTGCATTAAAGCAGTTTATCCTGTGACTGAAAATGATTGTGTTTGGAGAAGCAGCTCTTTGACATCAATTAACTCTCATCAGGCTGGTATAGCCGGAATATTCACAGATCCCGGTGTCCTCTGTTGAGTGAGAGTTACGTGCTTTAATTGCATGCGCGCCATTTAAAGTCAATAAGTGCATCTTTTGTGGTTATGTCCAAAGTTTGCATCATTGTTTGGATGTGTGGCGTGTGATAAGAAATCCCTGACAAGTGCTCATTGCTTTAGCAGTGGAAACGCTTGTTAAGGAGGATGAGAGTTGTTTGCGTGCGTTACGGAAAAATAACCCTCAGTGATACAGAAGAGCGCCCAGGGACACACACACACACACACACACACACACACACACACACACACACACACACACACACAAACACATACGCACGCACACACACTTACTGTACATTTTACCTGAGAAAATATCCAAAGTCTCAAGTCAAAAAGTTAATCTGATCTCATGGTTTATGTGTAAGCAGAACTGCAAGGGGTCAGTAAACTGTTGATTTATGCTCTGCTCCATTTACTAGAATTGCTGAGAAGCAACAGCTAACTGTAATTATGTGTGAGGGCATATGTATGGAGTCAATCAACCTAGTTATATGCTTGGCACTAAACTCACTTAACCTTGTTATCTTACAACACAGCTCCAGCAATGTAAGAGGAAATTGAATTAGTCTAGGAAGCTATTAATAGGAAAAAACACATAAACCGCTCTGAAATAAGTAGATTAGATGTCTGCGTGGCTAAAACAAAGGAGAGTCCATTCACCCTGCGTGTTAAAAAAAGTACAACAATGCAGAAGAGGCTAAGAGAAAAAAAGTACACAGGAGATAATAATTATGTCAAAAAATCCAAGTTCACTCACCACTTGTACATCCGAGGGTACCCTGGACAGAAAGTCCAGCAGCTCATTGTTATCAATGGTGTAAGGGTCTCGCAGCTTCTTGGTGAATTTATTTATCCCTGTTGGGAGAAATAACAGTAGAGGTAGGTAGGGAGATGGTAATGGAAGACAGATACTGACACATTATGGAACATCTTGATAATGTTTTACTGTAGTTTTGATAAAACTGCTGTGNGTAAACAAATGTGGTACACAAACATGTGGTACACAAACATGTGGTAAACAAACATGTGGTAAACAAACATGTGGTAAACAAACATGTGGTACACACACACACACACACACACACACACACACACACACACACACACAAAGAAAACAGCCAAGTCAGACTAACCACAGTGAATTGTGGTAAACAAATGTGGTAAACTCCTTGAAACACTTGATTAAATATTTAGCAAAAGAAAGCTGTGTGGTGCCTCTGAGTACTCACTGCTCTAGTTATTTTATGTGAGATGCCATCATGGCAAAGTGCACTCATAGGCATGAGTTTAAAACTTTGCAAAGACAGTTTGCTCTTCATTGACCCAAGGCCTACAGCTAAACAAGAGAGAGGTCACCGAGGACTCTGCCTGTTAGGATGGACTCAAATATCTGTCCTACATCCACTGGGTGGGAAAGAAGTGAGCCAATTGAGACTATTTTAACCTCCGATCCCGCTGTTCTCCCCGCTGGGTTACGCCATAAAAATGATAAACCTAACAGTTATAAGGTAGCGGCGTACATCGCATCACACCAGGAAATGAGTCTGAACCTCAAGTGACTGCTGCTCATTGCTGCTGTGCTAAAATTGCACCTGTTTTTCTTTGTTTTGCATCTCTCAGTCTGGCAGCACAGTAAAAATTGAAATGTCATATAAAACGTGACAGCATGCTAATATGTGGCTCCCAGAGGGCATCTGAAAGCGCCGTTGTTGATTTTGTAACTGCAGAGAGAGAGAGAGAGAGAGAGAGAGAGAGAGAGAGAGAGAGAGAGAGAGAGCGTATTCCTCCCATTTCCAGCCTTGGTGTAGGGGAGACACGTATTAAATTTCCAAATAATTGTGCAAGAACAAGGAATCACACAAATTCAAGCTCGGAATATCATTATCATCTTCTGCTTAGATAAAACTGTTCCTTTTCTTTCTTTAAATTAAATCAACATTTGACAAAACAATTTCATTGAACAGCTGAACATGCTGGCTCAGTATATACAC